TCCAGCAAAGTAGAGGCACAATGGTTTGTGTTCATATGGAGAAATTAATATATGAATGAACTAATTTTTAGTACACTGTCCTCTGCACTGCTTGAAATATTCTCTCAGCCTGGGCATGCAGAGAATTGTTAAATTTTTTTTGTCTGGTAGGAACGAATACTAGGTTATGAAAGTGGTAGTAAAGTGTAAGTTAAACAGTCCACAATACAGAAGAATCATCAAAGATAAAGAAGAGACCCATGGTGTCATGAATTTGTGAATGAGAGGTCAAAAACCATCTGTTAATCTTAAATGCAATGACTGGTAACTCAGATCTCTGAATGTAATTTTCAGACTAAGGATAAGTAAAATATATAAAATATAAAGCTCTATGTGCATCACACATGTATCTACATCTGTTAGTGTTCTGTACATATCATATCCAACATCTTGTTGAAAGTTGTACTGCCCCTACAACTGACATATGACAGCTATGGGACTGGTGAGGTAAGGTTATTGGTGATGTGAATGATGTTATCAAGTAACATTAAACCAAACGTTCTTTATGTAGAAATGTGGACAACTTCCAATGTCTGCCTACTTTTAATTACTGTGTAAATCTGTGCATGTCATAGTGTGTGTTCATACCTTAGAGGAACATTGGAATCTCTGAAGGCCTGGAGTATTGCAGTCTTTGCCTGGACATGGTTGTCTGAGGCACGAATCACCACCTCAGCAGAACTTGTCCTCTCCCTCCTGTCCTCACGCTTAGGGACAGCTGTTGTTCCAGCAGGAACTAACATGCATTTGATCACCCGTGGTGTAGACTCACTACTTGGCGGCATCTGTGGTTGACGTTAGAGATGAAATGATGCACATGTATGGAATGTTTCTGTTGTAAATTATTCAAGAAACAATACACACCAGGTAAAAACATGAACTCATCGATTTTGATTAGTACTCTGCAATAAGCATAAGTTTGAATACTCAAATAAGTACTTGCCCCAGAAATAGAGAAAGGGTAATACATGTACAGACAGCTACATGTATCTTTTATCTCAATGTGTAAATACTACACGTGTCATCAAATATGGTGGCAAAGAAAATGCATGTTATTTCAAATTGTACTTTGTAATAATACTAGTACTTCCCAAATAAGTTTGCAATTATGAATGAGAACTGTGATGAATGATTAATAGGTTTTACAATTTTTCGTATATCTAAATGTTGCATCTTTGCATTGGTAAGGATGACACAAGACTCCAGGCTACTATTGTCTGTCTGAATTTGCTATGTACTGAAGTGGGAGTCAAGAGAACATCACAATACGCAAGATGTACATGCACTGTCATACTAAGGATGACCTGTGATAGCCCATAAAGAGCCTTTTTGTGACTTGTACGGCCCACAGTGCAAAGCTGCTCATGACAAATTTAGCCTGGGTGCCAAAGCCTTTTTTCATGGCAAACACAAGCCTAGCATCTATGATCTATAGGCCATCAATCTGACGTGGCTGGATATACATTTATAAATGCGTCTTCCTCGGTCTTCATAGCTTAGTGAGGGCCTGCATGCCCTTTTTCGTTAACCGTTATGGGCTATTTTAATTCACCGTTAATTGTTACCGACCTGCTCTAATTCAACGTCTAGCGTTATCAGTATATTCATCGTGAAGAATGCCCCCGGACCACCTACATGACCTACATTGCTCGCGCCTTTGGCGCTCGATTCGCGCTTCTGCGCTCGGTCCCTTCGGCTCTACCCTGGATGCCAAACTAGTATCGGGCCGTTAGCCGTTTTCCTTCGGCAGCCGAGAGCCCTTCGCCCGCCTGCCTAAATTACCGCTACGGGGGAGTTGAGCCCGAGGGGAGTTGGCTGGTCCGGCCAGCCAAACTCCCCCCGGGCTAGACTCCCCCGTAGCGGTAATTTACTACTCTCCAAGCAGAGGTGAGAGGGAGAGAACGTAGGATATTCCGACATGGCTAGCTAAGGGAGGTACATTTCCCTCTCACCTGAGAGGGAAATGTGCCTCCCTTAGCTAGCCATGTCGGAATATCCTACGTTCTCTCCCTCTCACCTCTGCTTGGAGAGTAGTAATTTACACCAGCGGGCGAAGGGCTTTTGCGGCCCGGACAGCGAGTTTGGATTCCAGGGTACTTCGGCTCTAGCCAGCACCAGTTTTCCGTCAATTACCGGAAGTTTGCGGAGAATTACAGAATTTTTTTAACGAATCCGTCAACCTTGACAGACAAAATTAACAAAAATCTTGAGTAGAAATATGAAAACATCAGAAGGACCGACAAACACTCTCAACACCATGATTTGCCTATCAAAATGCGGGAAATTGCGTTTTTAAAGGCTTAAAATCTTAAATTTCCCGGGGGAACATAATTTCTCTGAAGACACCCAAACTAGTGCCTGGTGGGATCGTGTGGCGTAGCGGCAGAGTGCGCGACTCGGATGCCACCGATCTTGTGCCCTTGGGAAAGGCTAGCCTCTACCAGGCTTGAGGAGGCGGCTGGAAAGAGTAGAAATCGGCCAAAATAGAGAGATAAGCATGCCACTGTGGGGCGGCGAACTGTTCTCTCAACGGCCATACTCCCTTGGCATGCTTATCTCTCTATTTTGGCCGATTTCTACTCTTTCCAGCCGCCTCCTCAAGCCTGGTAGAGGCTAGGGAAAGGCACTTTACACGGCTTTCCTCACTTAGCTCAGGTGTTAATGAGTATTGTCCTGTCATGTATTTGTCCCCTGTGTTGGTGGCGGCATTAATATAAGTTGAAAAATAACTTGAGTGTGTCGTCACCACGTCTGGTGATTAAATGTTGGAATAAAAAAAAAAATTAAAAAAACTAGTGCGCGCGGGTGAATAAAAAAATCCGGCCAAAAATAAAAATGCTACAGGAATACAAAGAATGGGGGTAGAGTAAGGCCACACCGTCTTAATTTTATGGATGACATCCGCGCGCGCATTGATTTTCGCCTGTTCTAAAGAAAAAAAGATCACGTCCTCCGAGGCTCTGGCCTGGGTAGTCTATAGTATACTAGTAGTTACACAATACGGAGCCGGCGTCCGGTTGTGTCGTTTTTGTTTATTTGTTGTTGTTGTTGTTTTTTTGCCACACAAAATGAATACAATTGAACAGTGCAGTCTTACTGAAATAGTAAAAAAACTCACCTTGTCGTACGTAACTACTTGTAAAGCTTCGGTCTAACCGTGACGACTCTCGAATAGCCCGTATATTTTCTTACAACCGTCTCATTTACAAAACATGGTATAACTCGGCCATGACATAACTCGGCCAGCAATGGTTGACAAAATTCTGGAGTGATTTCGGTAATTCCCGATAAACGGCCGATCGACTTTTGCGCTCTAGGCTTGGCATAACCATGGAGGTAGACTTTACATAACCAAGGAGGGTCCAACTGTGGAGAACAGCAAAAGACGCCACAGCGCGTTGTCCCCACATGCAGGCCAACTGATATAGACCATCTAAATAAATGTATTAAAAGCAAACCTTTGCCTGTGAAGTTGAGTGCCTGTGAAGCGGATTGCGCCAAGGTAGAGCCAAGCCCCTATCTTCCTTGGCAAGTCGAGTCTTCGGATGCGCGCAGAGTTGTCGGGAAACTTAAGCAGAAATGAGAGACTAAATAATGGTAGAGTGGGAATATATGCGACCGGTCACCTCAGCTGAAAACTGCTGACTGTTATAGTGTTTGGAAGGCATGATAACACATCTGGTGGTATATCGTAAATGATCGTTTGCTCAGAGGGTGTCCCGGTCGATTCTAATTGAAAACAAATACTGTATATGGCTTCTCTTTTCCGAACACATATGGCCACATGTTGACAGGGTGAGACATCAGATAATTTAGACTTCTTGCTACATGTACTTTTGTTTCATTTCTAATTCTATGTTCATTATGTTTTTCGTCTATTCTTCATACCAGTTTAGGAAGTCAACTCATCATACCCCGGCACCACAGTTATTCTAAAGGAATCAAAGTGAAATTAGCTAAATCAGAGTACGGTCTTCGGTCTGCCTGGTCGGGCGACTGCCATGACTAATTGAGGTAATTGTTCTGGGTTGATTGAGAAAGGAACGGGAATTATTGATGACGTGAAATCCTTTGACATAATCAGAACCAAATCAGAAAATGTCAGTGGGAGGCTCTGCTGACGGCTGTATGTAAAGAAAATAAACACTAAAAAAACTCCGGGAGGCCGAGCCGCGGGCGTTACCCTACAGCCCTCCAGATCTCAGATCATATACTAGCCCTGTCGCCGCCCTATGCTGAGAGAGCATGTGTAACACAGGCTGTGGTGGCGTGAAAGAAGAAGGGTTTTGGGGCAGCCCGGGTTTGTAACGGACAGTAGGCTCCCCCCCTCCAAAAAAAATCTATCGCTTATAAAACGCCAGCGTTTTGCACCTCAGTCAGGAGCGCGATTTAGTCAAGATATCGATAACATGCCCAGGGAGTTAGTCCGCTATTCAGGTGCGGCCTGTACCAGGTCTCTACCAGGCTAACTACGCTGGCTATATATAGGACAATTAGCCGCCTTGTAGGTTAGACTGGTCGCGCAGTTATGGTTAGGTCACATTTACAAACCGGGGCCCGAGTCACAACATGACTGAAACATAAATGGTTTCCAAGTCGAGGTGTTTTAATGGCAAATGCTATAAGCATCTTCAGTTCTGTTGTTAATACATGTGGGGAGGGTGGCACATGGAACATCAACCAGCAGTCAAGGCAAACTGGCTGGTTTCTCCATTTAGGGTTTCTCCATGATTTCTCATTAGTTATTAGCCTGGGTACCATCCTGCTTGTATGCCGGAGCTCCCACACTCGCTTTTTACTTCTTTAGGGAAGCGAGTGTGGGAGCCCCGGCATGCAAGTAGGATGGTACTTAGGCTAATTAGTTACCATCAATAATATAGAATTAGCGCTAACTTGAACATTGTATATATTCATTGCAAACTGTGACGTCTTTCCTGTGACCTGTACTGAACACAGTGGGTATTTGTGTACAATAAAAGTCTTCATTCATTCATTCATTCATTCATTCATTCCAGGAGGCCAGCTTGAAGAGGTGGTCTCCTTGATACGTTTGACTGTATCTTTACTCTTTCTAGCCATGTCCCGGAGCCTGGGAGAGGCTACTGGCACCCAGGGTTTAGGGTTACCAAGACTATTCATTCAGGTATAACGAAGAATATTAATAACGACCGTAGTGTGTAGTATGTACTTTGAGTAAACGTATGTCATTCTTTACTCGAATTTCTTTGTGTGTGTGTTTCCCTGTGAGCAGTGTCAGAGCTATTACCATAGGTGCCTGGCTTACGTGGGTGCCAAACACTGCTCTTAATATCTTTCACTGTTGGGAGGAGGTAATTAGAGCCAGGGTGCCAACTCAGGGTTAGCGTACGTACTCTGGCATCCACTCGGGTAGGGTTAGAGTACTCTCCAAGCAGAGGTTTGGGTTTTGGGGCTATTTTTGGCGTGTTCTTAGGCTTCTTTTATCAGTGTTTCTTTTTTGCACTGGAATTTTTATTTCACACGCCGAAAGAGTTTTTGGGGTGATGTGTCAGGATTTGTGGTGGGGATTTAGCTACGCATCAAACATAACCTGTATACGTAATCCTGTCAGGACTGTATACTATAGATTATGTTAGATAACGCATTACCGTCAACCGCCAACGAGGAGGCACCCCACCAATGGTGACATATGGCCTTGTTTAAGGCAGTGTTCTTTTTCCACACAATGTCTCACACTGTCCCGTCCGGTTTTAAAAGACTTGTGGTTCGTTAAACTTGGTATTGTTGGGCAATGTCGGCTAGGACATTCTGTAGCCCCTCCCGCGATGTTCTGGCATACCTCTCTCGCCACATTTCTTCTTTGAGGTAGCTAGCAGTGTCCTCTCCCATACATCCATGCATGGCTTTCAGTTTCTTTTTTTTCCGGTTCCAATATGACTCGATGTGTTGTGTATGGACCCCCGTCACAGGGTCGACAAAGTGACGGCTGTGATTGACGGTTCGGTGTTGGGCGACATTTGGCAGGTCTTGAACGCGTCTGTATGCTGCCCATTCGTCGGAGTAGATGGTGGACCCCGGTAGAACACATCGTTCAATGATTGGCAGCAAAGTGTTGGCATCCCTGGATTCCACTACCTCCATGTAGCCAATACACGGCTGGACGTCCGTCCTCACGATTCCGAACACCCAGATCGGCCTCGCCCTGCGGCCACGTCGATATTTTGGTTTTTTCCTAAAAACTGATTCGTCCATGACCAGTACAGTGTTCTCACCTCCCATTGGAATAGGGGGATCGATGACAAGTTTATTTTCACAAACTTGTCTTAGGACCCGGCACATTTTGCACAATGTGTGCATACTGACATAGCCGATGGAAAGAAGTTCCTCGGCTATATCTTTCACAAGTTTCCCCTCCACCCACTTTACAATAAATCGCAAGAAAACTCGCAGGTCAATTTTGGGGAATTCGGCGAAAATAGAGTCAGTACGAACTGAGCGGGATGTACGACACATCTGCCTGGGACAGCGCCACGTAAAGTTATCACTTACGTCCCTTCGCTCCACATACTCCATCTCCACATGGCCATCACACCGGAGACACTCCATCCTAGATGCCAACAAGTGATGCTCGAATAACCAGTCCAAGCAGTCGGTCATGGGCGCCCCTGGTCGTGTCACCAGTTCGATTTCTGCAAACAAAGGTGCTGCTGCCATGTCTTTCCTCGTGTGGACGAAGGTAGTCAGAAGTAGTTATTCAGGGACGGCAGGAGTCACTCGGGCTGCGAGACGGATAGGAAGACGTGTGCGCGGTGCGACGACGTGTGAAGAAATAGGACAGGAGGGAGGAAGGCACTCTACTCCATTTGTCGCGACTCGGGTTGGCCTCCCGTAGTTTTCTTATCCTGATTGTCCAAGTGTTTATTTTCTTTGAACCCTTGACATCAGCGTTTCTCATGGACATGTTGTGAAATGTGGTTCTCATCATGTCCTATGTTTTCACGTCATCAATAATTTCCGTTCCTCTCCACTTCAACCCACCATGACAGTTGATCGAAGTGACAGATAAGGAGAGTTTTAAAACATGGCTGATACTGCCCTGTACTGTACTTTTGCACATGGAGTTAGAAGGAAACTCCATGTTATGAATAACTGCTTCTCTCTTTAATAATGATAGATATGATGATGAATGATAGAGAACTATTATTAAAAAGATGCGTCAGGCTATGATGAAGTTGCTGTTCTGGTGTGAAAAAATTGACGTCGACGGAAACATCATTAACACAAAAATAGTAAACTTGTGGGTTGCAAGGTGTTGAAATTTTCTGAGTCGTCATATATCCATGTGTGCATACTAACCAAATGTGCTCTCTCTCGTGACACTAGCAAAATGATGACTTGCTCGGTTGTTTTTGCTTGATCGCCGCAAGTCGGGAGTGTGACATCACGTTTTGGGTCATTTCCATCGGGAAACCACGTCAAATCAAACGGCGTACACAGCAGGCAACACAGAGAGGTTATAGAATGTTATATGAGTCTCCATACTTCCACATTTCCTCATTGTACCCTACATTTGACCATTTTACAACAAGAAGGGTATTATCCAAGATGATGATTAAAACGCCATCAACACCAAGGACACTATACAGAACACACCAAGGAAGTTTAATTTTCCTTGTTCTTGACTATAGTCACTGTACAGCGCAGGCTTTGGTCTTTTCTTGATCCATTGACTGTTTGTACAATAGATTCTTCATTTAATCATGATTACCAAGGAGGTTTAAAACCTTCTTGTGATAACTAACCATGGAGGTAGAAAAAAGGTAGCATGACTAATCAAAAGGTACCTCCATGAACTAACTAACTAAAATTTGTTCACAAACCAGCCATCCCCTTCTCGACCAATCAGAAGCTGGAATTCATCCCTCGCCATGCTCTAAGTAAACCAATAAATCAGATTATCAACTACTGTATCCATGGAAACAATAGTTGGGGGTGTGTTGTCCCATAAGTTATAGCGTCACGGGAGAGTGTGTCAGACCTTGTTCAGACTGTCACCCCGGAACGGAAGCGGACCCGTTGACCATGTGGTTCACCCTTAACCGACCGCTGCATGTCACTGATGCAGTGTGGAACATGTTACCGGTAAGTTTGACATTCTCAGCTTGTTTCTTTCGTAGTTAGCATATTTCACACGTTACCTACTGCCACTACCCCGGGGGCCAGACGGTAAGGACAGCGGGCGAAGAGTTAGGCCGCACGGCGCAACGTGTACAAGGTACGCTGTCTGTTGGTGGGGCCGGGGCGAACCTTGGGCTGGGCCCAGGGCGCTTAAACTCTACGGAAGCCGCTGAAACAGGTCTGGCTTTCAGGGTACTTCACAGTGGAATCCTAGGTATAATTTGAGTATTTAGCCTGGTTTACAAATCTATTTTAGAGTTTAAAAAACTTTCTGCAACTATTAAGTTTTTTGCAATGATTAGCCCCCATGTGCGAACTCTAATCGGTTGAAAAGCCAGTTGAAAGCAAACAGAACCTTGCAGTTTCTGCGTTTTGTGTCATTCCGATCGCTGCTCGCTCTTACTGATGCAGTCGTTTTTCTCGTTTCCCCCCCTCCCTCAGGAGACCACGACCCATTCCAGCCGGGTCATGTCGTATGACTACCTGAAGGTCAGGTATCCGAACCTGGCCGTATCCATCCACGTCAGGTAATTCTTGTTCTTTATAATCCTCTTCGAACACTTTAGGGGCGATGTGAACCGCAGAAAGGCCATTTACGATTCAGGAATTTTTGTTTTCAATGTTGGGTTACTCGACAGTTTTACTTCAGTGTCCTGTTCTTACACTGTCCTTTCACACGACAAAAAAGGATTAGTGGACTGAGATCATGATTAATTACAATATAACAATAAACTTTATTGCACATTTACGTCTTACATGGGCCAAATGCACTAGCTTAGATGACAAAGGTATACAGTTATAAGGGGAAGTATTACATTAATATATTGCGTCTATATCTACAAGATCTCTTTTGTGTGTGTGTGTGTTTGTTAACTAGTAAGCTATTGTAAGCTTTAGAGTTAGATGAATTATAGTATACAGTAGATGTTAGTTTTGTTTTGTTTTTCTTCTTATACCCTATGTACTAGTAACTAGTATCATACAGTATGTTATGTCACCCAATGCATTTAGCCCGGAAGGGCATGAATATGCAATAAACATCATTGTCATTGTCATTGTTAACAGCGCCAGGCTTGCCTACCCGAACCTTGACGTCGGCCAGAGGACGTTGATTCTGATGGAGGAGATTACGTCCCATGCATCTGGGAAGGACGTCAAGGTGTCGATGAAGAACCAGGCCTAGGTGAGACCTTTTCTTCCTGTAGATAGTTAGAAAAAACTTATCTCTACACAACCTCAACATCAATCATGTCAATGTTGTGAGTTTCGTGAGGCGTCAATTTGCCTCACTTTTATACGTGTTGTAACTGAAACGTCCCGAGAGTGACTTGTGCAAGGAAAAGGCAAATGGAGCGTCCCGAGTGGCGGGTAGGGAGCAAACAGCCTGGATAGAATAATGATTGTTTTTCTCAGTTTGATGTATATAGCCTGGGTACCATCCTGGTTAGTTTACGTCCGCTCCCACAGCCGCTCCCACTGTGGGAGCGGACGTAAAATAACCAGGATGGTACCCAGGCTAAATTGTCCTAGAGTGAATCCAGGTGCACTTACCGCGTTTTATGTTTGTTTCCTTCACTGCAGAAACGCTCCTGTGCACAATCTACATCGGTCGCCATCAGGATCTCTAAACTAGAGCAGAACGATGAATAAACTGAAATAAAAGCGATTCTTGTCTTTGTGTGCATTCTTGTGACAAATTAGTGATTAGTGTGAGCAGTTTGAACGTTAATCCCAGACGTAAATGACGCTATTGTTCTGTTCGGTCAAGTTTCCGTCCTAAGGAAATCAAAATACAGTCGAAATAGTGTATCATTTGAAGTGTGTCACAGTTTTCGGTGTTATAATTGGGGAAATGTGTAAATGGCAAATAGCCCACCCCTCAGACGACCCCCCCCCCGAAAAATATCGTACGGTCCCTAACCGCTCGCATCGCAAAAATATCGTCTCGCCTCGGCAGCGGGGGTCGTCACGCAGCGTTGAAAAAATCTCAATATTTTCTCTAACATCTATATATTGGTATCATATCTATATTTTTCTCAATATCAGCTATATAAGTATAAGTTGAAAACAGAAGTATTTGTCAAAAGTGCTCTTGATTGTCCAATTTTAATCTGGACGCTCATGGTATGGTCCTCCATTGAATTACTTTTTCAAAACATTGGACATGTAAAATTAGTATGATAATGTTGTTAAAAGACAAAATAAAAACAAAGCCATCCGACTATTACCATTGATAATGACTGTAATGATTTAACACTGTGACACATCCGACACCGACAGTGCGACAGCGATCGCTCCCACTGACCTCCAGATGACCCCGCGTCGGGTTGGTAGCATCAGCAAGCACTGAATTACGAGGACAATTACGAGGACATGAACAAGATATGCAATATCTATATTGACATCTATAATATATAGTAACATGAATATACAATTATTTAGGTTGTCGATAGATTCACCAAAACGGGAAGATGCCAAAAGTTATTTTTACGTTAAATGCGGTTTAGAAATGGCGCGTGTTCAGACTGGAGTGCATTTGGCAGCTGGCATTTTGGAGTCTGGTTCGAGATTTCCCAACCGACCCAAGCTTTGAGTGCTAGAATAAGCCGTACGGTACAGCATGTATTAAAGGTTAATAGTAATAAATACTGCATAATTTTTCATGGTGACCGTTTGATTCGGATCACCGACTTCGGGTAGGATGATACTTGTGTCATAGTGCTTTCGGAACATAGAGATTTCGGAACATAGAGATTTCGGAACATAGGGATTTCGGAACATAGGGATTTCGGAACATAGAGATTTCGGAACATAGGGATTTCGGAACATAGAGATTTCGGAACATAGGTATGTAACCGGCCTAACTACGAAACTATGAATATTCACCTATAGTTCGATCAAGTACTTCTACTAAGGTAACGTTCGCGAAAATTCATCATCCTCGGGCTACTTCGAAATCTGATGATTATGATCTCTTATTTTCAAAATCATGTCCAAAGGATAATTTCGGGTACTTCATTTTATTGGCTGAATTGCCTTGCATTTGAAAGATGTGGTGACCCCTATGTGTATCCGATGACCATTTCAGACTTGACGTGTCCTGTTGAGAACGTGCAGTTCATCCCCTGTACTCTGACATTGTTCCCATGGACACAGTTAGCCTCTACCAGGCTTTGGTAGGCGGCAAACTGTTTCTCACCGCGGACTAACTCCTCTGACAGGTTATCTCTCTTATTTGGCCGATTTCCACTCTTTCCAGCCGCCTCCCACTGCGCTGGGACAATATGGAAACTTCACGCTTTAATTTGAACCATCTGTGAGCCTGCTTTTTATATATTACTCTCCAAGCAAATCTGAGATTGATGGTGGAAGATCGTTTGCTATAAGGTTCTGCATGGGGAGGTCCTGGCAACGGTTTATAAGGCCGCACCAAGTAAATTTTATGGATGACGTCCGCGCGCGCATTGATTTTGGCCTGTTCCTAGAAAAAAAAACAAGAAATTCCGCTTCCTGTAACTATGACCAAAGAGTCACGACAGTGCCGCAAATCGTCAGATTGACGTGAAACCCGTAACGCGAAAACAGGACAGGACAACAACTGCTGTTCCCACCTGATTTATTGCTGTTTTGATGATGAATAAAAGACTTCTTGCTTGTTACACTGTGTCACCTCATTCAATTTGTGTCCTAACATTTGTCGTCTCTTAGTATATTTCTAATCTAGGCATCTTGTTTTTAGGGCCCTTCTTGTTTTTTCTCGCCCTCTCGCATTAGATTTAGGGTCTCAAAAGGACGTCATCCATAAAATTTACTTGGTGTGGCCTAACGGTAAATTCAGCAGGACCGGCAACGCTTAA